AATCAATCTATTTCATCCTTGTTAAAAACAGTTTATGCCTTTCTATTTCCTTGTTACATAAATTGGAACAGGATTTGGACAAGAGTAGTTGCAATGTATCTTCTTTAATGTTACGAAACTTTGCTCAAAAAAAAAAAAATCTTCTGTAATATGACGAGAAAGTAATCATTATGGGTGTGAAGATGGGGAATCTATGGTTCTTTCCACTAACCCCCCCCCCCCCCCCCCCCCCAATATCTTACCACATTATCTGCAATATACAATTTTCATTCACTTGTGGTCTTGTGCGCAGTTATCCTTATTGGAGAACAAGAGGTTCTTCATTTTGCTTCTCTAATGAATTTCTTGACCACAAATATGCTACTATACATTTGGTTATCACCACAGTACTAATTGGTTTTCAAGTGTTCTTGAACTTTTAATAGTTGGGATTTAAAGTGTCTATAACTTTCTCATAGCTAGTAATCGAAAAATATAGACATTGTTTTTTGTGCTATTCATACCCTCAAACCATCTGTCAAGCTACAGTTGGTATTGAGGCATCTGTCAATCCTGTTTGAAAAACTGGAATTAAAATTCCATTGCTGAATTGTTTCTTTTTGGTTTCGCTTTATTCGACGTTAGCAGTTGCTGTTTCTTGTAAAAACAATGAACCTTCTCCTTTGTGATGTAATTTGAGAGCAAATATGGCAATAATAGCCCAGATATTGAATAACTTTTCCCCAGTTTCCTCCTCGCGGATATCTGAATTTTGGTTATCTTGTCAAACTATCTCACTCTCCAAACAAAGTTCACACTTGTGGCCTGGAACTTTTTATGACTTGGAAATTGTCTTGCCGCCCAAACAAGTGTTTGCAGATTGCTTGTCTAGTAGTCTAGCTTTTTGTTGTGAAGTATCTGAACTTTTTGAATATTGCTGCCTAAAACCAATCCTCTTCAATAGCGGGCTTTAGGCATTCTTTTGGCTGTGAAAATAGGTTGCAATGCATTAGGTAGAAGCTGAAGGAAGTAGTTAAGGACATGCTTTTTTGGCTCGCCTAAAATGATTCCACTTCTCTAAGACATAACATATTGAAGTTTCTACATGACAATTTAGCTGCTGCTGTGACTTCTCTTTCTGCCTTAGTGTTCTTTTCTTTAATAACGGTATTTTTTGCATTAGTATCGCTGATCTATCAGTATCATCTTTTGTCTCCTTCTTACTAAGGCTATAGATATGATTTTATCTCAACGCTCCTGTCTCCTTGCTCTTTGTTTGAATGGAAATATGAATACCATAGGTGTCCGATTGTCTTTCACTTATGTTGTGATTCTCGCCTATGAAATTTCAGCATCATTGCCGGAGGTGCGGGGGCATTTTTTGCAATAGCTGTACCCAGCAGAGAATGGTGTTACGCGGACAAGGTGACTCACCGGTGCGTATATGTGAACCCTGCAAAAGATTAGAAGAAGCTGCACGTTTTGAAATGCGATATGGGCACAAAAATAGAGCGAAAGGAGGTACCGTATAAATAACTGGTTATGCTCACATTCATAGTTACTGTGCTGGAACCTTAATTGCATAGTACAAATAGAAAGAAATGAGTACTTCTCATTTTAAAATGCAAGTGTTTTCTCTCACAGGGAGCTCAAAACTTGCATCAAAGAGTGAGGATGAAGCTTTAAATCAGCTTCTGGGAAAAGAAATGGCCTCAGATGTTTTTCCCCTTGATCAACAGTCAGCAAACACTGCGTCTGGTTCAAATGTTCTAGATTATTCTAGTAAAGATGAGGCTGGAAACAGAAGCGTTAATCAGACTGAGCAGCAGGCTGAAATGGAATCCACTACGCCTGAAGAATTACGTCAGCAAGCGATGGAAGAAAAAAAGAATTACCGAACCCTAAAGGCTTCAGGTAAGCCTGAAGAAGCGCTAAGGGCTTTTAAGAGGGGTAAAGAACTTGAAAGGCAGGCTGCTGCTTTGGAGATTTCTCTAAGGAAAAATCGTAAAAGGGCATTATCTTCCAGTAATGTCACTGAGATCCAGCAAGATGCTGATGACCGCGAAGCGTCTGGTAGGAAAAATAAGCTCTCTCCTCAAATTACCAAAGAGAAGGATGATCTTGCTTCTGAACTCAGAGAACTGGGATGGTCAGATATGGATCTTCGTACTGCTGACAAAAGGCCAGCAACCATGAGCCTTGAGGGTGAACTTTCTGCGCTTCTTGGAGAAGTTTCTGGAAAGACCAATCCTGGAAAGAAAACTCATGGAACTGACAAGTCACAGGTCATTGCTCATAAGAAAAAAGCACTCGAGTTGAAGCGGGAAGGGAAACTTGTTGAAGCCAAAGAAGAATTGAAGAAGGCTAAAATTCTTGAAAAGCAAATAGAAGAGCAGGAACTGTTGGGTGGTGATGAAGAGTCTGATGATGAGCTTTCCTCTTTAATACGTGGCCTGGATTCTGATAAATTTGATGATATATCTACTGGATATAAACCAGATTCTAGTTATGATTTTGACAACCTTCTGGGAATTGCTGATGATCTTGGTACACATGGTAACTTTGAAGTAACTGATGATGACATGTATGACCCAGAAATAGCAGCTGCCTTGAAATCAATGGGCTGGACTGAAGATGCCACTGAATCTGAGGTTTCAGAAAAGCAATTCCAGCCTGTTGATAGGGAAGTATTACTAAGTGAAATTCAGTCACTGAAAAGAGAAGCCCTTAGCCAGAAAAGGGCTGGTAATACTAAGGAGGCAATGGAACTTCTAAAGAGGGCAAAAACACTGGAGAGCGAGCTTGACAGTTCTGCTTCTCGGGAGACTAACATGAAGGTACAGCATCCTGTGGCAATCCAGAAGGAACGTTTTCCTTCAGTGGAAGAACACCTAAATAATGGTGAAGAAGATGTTAGAAAGTACATTGAAAGGAAGGACAAGGAGTACAAAGTAGCACCAAAGAGTAGATCAGTGATCCAGAGAGAGCTTCTCAGTATTAAAAAGAAGGCTCTTGCTTTAAGAAGGGAAGGAAGGTTAGATGAGGCTGAAGAAGAATTGAATAAAGGCAAGATTCTTGAGAAGCAACTTGAAGATATTGATAATCCACCAAAATCCGTGGAGCCCATTGCTGGGAATAAGCTGGATGAAAGTGTTGCAGATATTGATGCTGGAGATGAAGAGGCAGAGGTTACGGATCAAGATCTGCATGACCCAACTTATCTTTCACTGCTTAATAATTTGGGCTGGCAGGATGATGAAAAAGCTAATGTTCCATCTTCGTCATTTCAAGGGAAAAATAATGTTTCTCATCTTAGCGATTCCTTAACTAAGGAAGCTACGAGTAACATCCAAGCTCGAGCATCTAACAAAAGTAAAGGTGAAATCCAGAGGGAACTTCTGGGATTGAAACGAAAGGCACTCACATTGAGACGCCAAGGAGAGGCCGAGGAGGCAGAGGAAGTGCTGAAAGCGGCTAAAATGTTAGAAGAGCAATTAGCTGAAATTGAAGAATCTATGTCTACCAGAGTTCCAACTGAGTCAAATGAGCAGAAAGAACGTAAAGCTATCGGTTCTTCCCTTGAGAACCCACAGTTTACTCCATCTGGTTCACAAAAAAGCCCAATTGAGGACATGGCAAGCAAAGTTACTCGTACTCCTGAGAAACCAGAAGAGGTCGCTCAGTCAGATGAGAAACCATGCATCTCTGAGTCAAAATCTGCCCAGGAAGCTAATTCTCAGCTTGATGAAAATTCCCTTCCTCAAGATATACTGGCTCGCAAGAGGAAAGCAGTTGCCTTGAAGCGAGAAGGGAAAGTGGCAGAAGCCAAGGAGGAACTTCGACAGGCAAAACTTTTAGAGAAGCGCCTTGAGGAGGAAAAGACACTGGATACTAGTAGTTCCACAGTCTCGGCCGGTTCTACTACCTCGCATGTTGGACAAAAGGAAGTTAGTCCAAACAAAGTTCCTAATGTATCTCAAGTTGGACAGAAAGAAGTAAGTCCAAACTCAGGTCCAAAGCCATTGTCTGGACGTGATCGGTTTAAATTGCAGCAGGAGTCTCTCAGCCACAAACGACAAGCACTTAAGTTAAGAAGGGAAGGTAGGACTGAAGAAGCGGATGCTGAATTTGAATTGGCAAAAGCTATTGAGAGCCAGTTGGAAGAAGTGTCTTCGCAAGATACAATGAAGTCTTCTGACCCCACAGCTGAATCAGCAGAGGATGTCAGTGTTGAGGATTTTCTTGATCCTCAGCTTTTCTCTGCTTTAAAAGCAATTGGAATTGCAGATACCACTATTGTATGCCGAGGCCCTGAAAGACAGGAAACAAAGAAGCACATAGCTGGCAATACTGATAAGACTGGCACTATTGCCTCTCAAATCCTTGAAAGACCAGAGCCAAAAGTATCTGAAGCAGGTGTATCTGATGAGTCTTCCAATGAGAGAAAACATTTGGAAGAACGAATAAAGGCAGAGAAATTGAAGGCATTAAACTTGAAACGTTCTGGAAAGCAGGCAGAGGCCTTGGACGCCCTTCGACGGGCTAAGATGTTTGAAAAGAAGTTGAACGCTTTAGCTTCATAACAATGAAGCTGGTACAATCTTTGTGTCTGGACAGGTTTTTACACGGTATATACCAACGATAAGCATGACAAGAGTTGGAATGATGGACTAGGTACTTCTCTCATGTAGCCGCTTAAGTCATTCCAATAGATGAGCTCAGTGAGTGAATTATTGGACGAACTGGAAACATTGTAAACCATTTGAATGCCCTGATGATGTGCTTTCTATGGCGACATGTATAATTATTCTTTCTTAACTATTTTTTGAGAATGAGATTATAATACTTCATCCCCTAATTTAGAATTGGCTGGGGGTCCTTGTATTCTACTTGATTGTTCTTTTAGGGGTTTTCATCTTTCATTGTTATGTAATGTTGGAGATTCGGGATAATGCATGTAACTATTTGTTGCAATACCATGCTCTTCCAAGGCCTTATTTACTGGAGGGGACTTCATACAAGTATCTGGATATAGAAAACAGATATTCTTATATATTTAGTTCTTTTACATTGAGCTTCATGCATAAACAGGCAAATTGAAGTATGTCATTTCAGGAAAGAGGAATGGGTTCAAAGAATAAGGAGCGGATCCGATCCTTTGTCTCATAATCTGGAATTCCAAATCCATCTCCATGCTGGTACATGCATTGAGCAATCCTAGCAAGATTCATTGCAGTTGTTCTAAAATCCTTTGAGAAGGAGCTGTCCCTTAGTATATCTTTGTTCATCTTCTTCCAGGTCTGATCAATTAATTGCTTTATATAGTTTCGAGCATTTTCTTCAGACCTTCCTGACTCATGCATGTAGCAGTGTATTGATTTAAGATAATCCCCTTTCTTGATTTCATCCTGAACAAAGGTAAAAAAAGAAATACTTGTTTAACATATCATACTAGAACTTGCTGACCTTGCACAGAAAACTGTATATAAACATAGCTTACAGGTGAAGTTGCCAAGTCATTTGCAAGGCGAAGAATTAGCGAAGGCGATTGAATAATAGCAGGATAATTCTTTAAGCATTCCAGTTCCTCCTCCTTTATGGGGTTTGTGATGCAAAAATAAGCATGCATTATTAGTACAGGACCAGTGTTTGTTATCCATGCATTTCTCAGGAACTCATTCAAGCTTGGTGTGTATCTACTCTGGTACCACTTCACTTCCAGTAAGTAGGCTTTACATAGGTTGGCCCACTGAAATATTTGGTACCAAAAAATGTCAAATGTATATGTCAGTAAGAATGAAGAGAAGAGGAGATGGGAAATTCAAGATAAATTACTGGGAAGAAAAACTTGCTACCTGCTTCCTTATATGTGAAATTATGCTGAAGCCTTGTTCTTTGAGAATATCATAAGCCAGTTCATTCATGGAGTTGAAGAGAGCTAGGAAGCAGATTTTCATGTAGTCAGGTAGTCGCTCTATTGCATTGATGTCCCATCTTCAGAACATGTAACCACAATAAGTATATGCCCCTCATCAAAAATAATTTTGAAATTCTATTCCAGTCCAACCCAACCCCATGACCATCCAAATAAAGGAAAAAAAAGGATTTAACTTATATACGTTGATAGTGTAACGAATTTTTACACTATCAAATATTTTAATCAATAGTAACAGGTAACTTATTTTATTTTTCCAGGTTATTGATCTCACTTATTATAGACGGTTATTTATAATTATCTTTTAGATGACATGATAGTATAAGAATCGGGATAGAGGAAAAAGGTCTAAAGTATGTGGACAAACCTGTCAACAATATCAGTGAAAAGCTCAAGTTCATCCATGGTGCCATAAACATCATAGATGTCATCAATTGTTGTGAGGAGTACAGAAAGCTTTGTTGAAAACTTTCGACAGTATCCGAACTGAGGATTAGGAGTGAAACCAACAGCCCATAAAAAACCCTCCACCAATCTGTCCCTAACAAAGCTCATCTTTTTGACAAGTTTAATGTTCTTATCCCACCTGCATTATAATCAGATTAAAACATATCGTCAAGTAAAGTTTTCAGGATTGAAAATATTTTAGTATACCAAAATTAAATCGTATTATGTGTGTGTTCAACAGTGTGCCACTTCCAAAGTCATGTACACAGTGATGGATCTAGCCATGAGTTTGCAGGTTCGATAGAGAAACATATATAGTTGGATATCCATATCAATACTCAGTCTCTCAACTTATAACCTACAATGTCTAAATTCTGTATCTGCCTCTAACGTACGGAGCGCCATCTCACCTTGACATTTGTTTTAGTTCCTCCAAATATGTAGCTTGTACCATGTTGTAGTCAAACTTTGCAAGTTCAAGTAGAAGAGGATTCATGTTCTCTCTTTTGTGATAAACTTCTATAAACCATCTTGCTTCTAGCCTCTGCATCCTCCAATGCAGAGGCATTTCTAAAGCATGGGTTACTTGCTCAGCAAGATTCTGATCTGTCATCTTCTTAAGGCTTTCCGTGAGATAATGAGTGGTGAAATCTCGAGCTATTTCCAAAATGCTTTCACCTTCCATAGAAAGATAGCAAGCTTCATACAAACTCAACAGTCCTTTAGTATCCACAACAAGGCTCGGTTTGAACTTCACTTCCTTATTCATGAAAGTGCAAAACATCTCTGGAAAAGAGGAAAGGATTCTACATAAGAACAAACATAAAAAGCATGCAAGCTTAATTAAACTACTTGCTATCAATGTCGGAGCTAGATTTTTCACTAACGGGTGTCAAAATATAACGAAATAAATACATAAAAAGGTCAAAGAGGTTCAACATATAATATTTATACTTAATTTTTTTACTTATCTGTACAGTGTAATTTTAAGTGATGAGATGTCAATTAACTACAGAGAATGGACTTTTAGTGGCGACTTGCAAAAGATTCTTTAGTTATTGTCTGACACGTAAGACATAGAGGGGAATCCAGGATTTCAAGAGGATAGGTGCACTTATATTTGACGGGTTTAACTATAGCCTCTTACCATGAACCCACGACACTTTTGAAATTATAGGTTCAAAATTATTTTTTTTTTTTTTGAAATTTTAGTGATTTTCTCTAATATATCTATACTCTATGCCGGAAACAAGACCGTCTGGAGTAGAATTTGAACCGCTAATTTTATTTGTGGAGGTACACCCAATAATTATTATACCCTAAGAGTCTTTGAGCTGCTATTTGTAGTGCATGCAAGACATGTGCAAAAACTTTATGCTTGCCGCAATTATGTTGTTAGTTTACCTCTTTTTTTTTTTTTTTTTCCAATTAATTTTTCTTTTTTTGGTTAAGTACTCCGGAGATTGATTCAGGGAGCATTATAAATTATGAGATGAAATCGGTAACTAAAAAAAAAGTAAAGGAAATGTTGAAGTACCTTGAGGGACATGATAGCCCTCTTGTCTAAGGAGTCGAAATTCTAAAGCTGTAGTACACAAATCTTCACTCTTCTGCCCGTCATTTCTATTAGTAGTATTAATGTTAACGTACATTTGCTTCAAAACTCTATCAATTTCTTCCTCAAAGTGATAGGACAAACCAAGTCTTTGCAAAATGTCAACAAGCTCAAGTTGTTCCAATGGGTGGATTGTTTTCTCTAGCATTCTCCTCACCTCTTCTATTAGTCCGGCAGCTCGTTCATAGTGTTTCTCTTCCTGCATGATAAAGAAGTAATTCTCACGTCAGTTGATAATATACACTTATTTTTCTCATAAGGGTTTAGCTTCGATGCATTGGCAGTGTACAATTTTTTATACATTTAAGTTTGACGACTCACAACAACAGGTCTGTGCCAGTATATTATCCTATATAGAGGGTGTTTGGCTAAGCTTATAAGTTGGTCAAACTGGCTTATAAGCACTTTTTGGCTTATCTATGCGTTTGGTAAAATTAAAAGTGCTTATAAGTTAAGTGCTTATAAGCCAAAAATAAGCCAAAAGCCATAAGTTGGTCTCCCCCAACTTATCAAATTTACAGCTTATAAGTCAACTNTAAGCACTTTAGGTTTGACCAAAATACTTACTATTCTATCCCTAAAATACTTCTTTTTAGAACAAAACTCTTCGTATACCTAGTTCTTCAGCTGCTTATTTCAGCACTTTTATCCAAACACGTAACTGCTTATTTTTTAAATCAGATTCAGCACTTAAAAGTGCTTTTCAGCACCTAATGCTTATCAGCTACTCTAAATCAGCTAGCCAAACGGGCTCATAGTAACCTAAGAAAAGCGCGACAAAAAGCTTGCCAAAGAAATACTGTTAGTGTATATATGTCAAATAATTTTTTTAGACAATATACAAAAATGAAGAGTAAAAGAAAAAAGACAGAAGAATAGCAGCATACTATATTTTTTCCTATTCGGACTTACAGCATAAAATGTAACTCGTGATTGGACATATCCATCCTCCCAAATGCTAGGTTTGTAGTTTCCTGACCTCCTAAGATCCATTGTTGATAGACGAATGCCTTCAAGCAGGAAAAGTGAGCCACATATTCAGCTTTTATAGCACATGACAAGTAAATTAACTCTACGGATTGTAGGCCCAGATAATACACTTGTCAACATTAGAATATCAAACCTTACCTCCGCAATAACAATTAATCACATCCGTGATTACATCGACCTAATAGCATAAAATAAAGTAAGAATATGTAACTATGGTTAAGCAATAAAAGTATATATACAAGACAATATATTTTACATTAAATTATCGGGAGAAATTCAAAAATAGCCAGTGGTCATTCAAAAATAGCCACAGTTTCTAAAGCAATCGAAATTTATATCTATTGCATAAGATTGATCCTCAACTGCGCCTATAGGCTCGAAATCATTAAACATCATACTTCCTCTTTTGAATTTTTCACTAGGGCCGCTGCTGAGAGCCACCCGCTCCGACTTGGCCGCGAATATAGTCAACTCCATAAATTTCATAACACATAATTACCCTCTTGACGAGGCACCCGGCGGAACCACCTCCTTTG